AAAATCTTGTGAGACACGCCAGATACATTGTAAGTTGTTATCACATTCCAGGCATGCTAGATATCCAGCTGCTTGTCTTGATGACTCTGACATAAACAAAACTCTGGTAGGTATCCTCCTATGCAAGGGGATAAGTATCCAGTGAAGTTCAGAACTGGAACAGCAATCAATCTAACCAGGACGAGCCTCGGTTTAGGAGAGTTAAACTGTTAAATCGCTCCCATCTCATACCAAGCCAGGAGCACAAACTCCATTCATCAGAGCTAATTAACATCAACAGAGAAACAACTGCAAGGCACCTAATCACCAGGAGGATGGTCATTCCAGTTCGAGTACGCTGTAAGCTGACACGCGCAGACCATGATGCACCCCTGTGCTTGAAGGGGAGAGGTCCCCTGGCCGGGCTGCGGCAAGAGGCGACACGCCGGACGCGTGCACGCCGGGTGCCGGGAGCACCAACCGGAGTGACTGGAGCACCTCGGAAAGGTTCTCTAGAGCAATTTGAGCAGGTCCAAAGATGAACCTCCTGCACGAGTCCTGATTCCAAAAATGTAGACAATGAAGTGAGGGATTTCTCAAGGAGAGACATAAAGTGAGCATTAAGGCATACAAATAGATAAACACCACCATTGACCGAGCACATGTGGAGGCAGGATACACTGAGGAGAAAATAAATTTAAAGCAACAAGCTCTTTAAAAAATTTAGTTATTAGAGACAGGTCCACTCGTCACCAGCGGGTGCAGGCACAACTGGCCACTGCAGCCGCGAACGCTGGCCAAGCCATCCTCCTGCTCAGCCCTGACAAGTGGACACAGACCTGTGCCATGGCACCCTGGTAATTTAAATTTTTTTCAGAGAGAGGGTTGCTCAGGCCTGGCTAAACTCCTGGCCAAGTGACCCTCCACCTCGGCTCACCCACACCTGGGATTACAGTGGACCAATGTCCAGCCTATTCTTGACTTTTAACCAAGTAAGCTGGTCATTGAACAGGCGTGGTCCTGGCATACAGCTCCTTGGCTGGGTGTACCGCACTTATCCACGAGGGACCCTCTCATTGACCACAGTTGCATTTTAAAATGGGCAAAATATACATGACAGAATCCCGCTTAACAATTTAAGTGTCCCTCTGTGGCCATTAGGTACATCACATTGTTGGTAACCAACCACCACCACCATCCCACTTTTGTCTTCTCACTGAAACTCCAGACTCAGAACAATAACTTCCATTCCTAGATTTGCATTTGAAGAAACGTAAGCAGAAATGGTGCACCAGTTAGAAAGTCATTGCTAAATATATAAATTGGGTGATCACAAGGATTGAAACGAAACAGTTTGACTAGTAGACCCCAGAACTTGCTGCCACTTTTACTAAACGAGATAATCAAATAAGTCTTCAAGAAAAATCGCCTACATTTCGAAAGCGGAGCTGAGCACGTTCCACGCCAGCTCATTTGAGGGCAATCTGAGGGCAGAGCTGAGGGAGATGGACAGGAACGCAAGAAAATAAGGGAAGACGCTGCCGCCTCAGTTGCTGAGGTTGTGGCCAATCCACGCAGCACGCCGCTGTGGAAAACCTGTGCCGCCTAGGTCAGTCTGTCGAAGACCAGTGCCTCAGCCGCCACAGGGATCAGCGTTAGGGTTAATTCTATGCGATTCCAAGTGGAAATATCACTGGCTGAGAGCCCGCCTGGTTAACCAACTGCACTGCTGACCAGGAAGACAGACGAGGAGTCCGTGTGCGGTGCACATCAAAACAGACCAGGATAGTTTAAACACGTTCTCATTCTGCCCTCGTCATCTTTCGTGCAGGATAACATGGGCGGCCAAGACAAGCAGAGCTTCCACAACACACACCCAACCATGGCCTCGAAAGGAGCCCGGAAGAGTCTTGGGCTGGGTGACACCGCCATTCCTCACGACGTGAGCTCCATGCCATGGTGCCATCACCCTGCTGGCATCCACGCAACAACAGTGACATCTGAAGCCATCGGTCTAATTTGTGAACCCCACCAACTACCCTGAGATGGCCCAGGGAAGGTTTGCCAGTCCACTTAAACAGATGAGCTGACCAATAGCCCAGCTGAACAAGAGCCAGAGGCAGGTGCAGACCCTGCCCCTGCAGGCTTGCCATAGAGGCAGGCAGGCCAGTGCCCCAATGTGGAGCAAGGAACTCTTGGGAGGTCGCGGGGGCGGAGGGCTTCTATTATTTTCCAGGAGGTTCCGTCCGAGAACAAACCTCAGAGAGAGATGTGCCTGCTCCTCCTTGGACAAGGACACTGTTCCAGATGAGAGGTAGTGAGCCTGCATCCTGGGGCCAACGCTGCAAAAGCCTGTTGACATCGCCGAGCACAAAGTGGGGGTGACCGGCCGAGCTCCACTGCCACTAAACGCAGCAATGCCGACTTGGCTTATCACTGAGCCTTCACCCCAGGAGAACTGTCCTGTGCGACACATCTGTTGTATATCTCCTTTCCTTACACCCAAAAACACTTATATCACAGAATGATCAGTGATTCTCATGTTACAAAGCTAGAGATGAGACTCAACTGAGGTTGTGAATCTGAATCACGGCTCGCCACACCTGAGTGAATTCGTTCCAGTACTTGCAGGACTGAAGGGGACCCAGCCCCTCCCACTCTCGGTGCCTCCATCTGCGCCTGCTGCTATGGGCGGCCTTGCGTGTCTCACTCTGTACAGTAAGACACAAAGGACGTCATTGGCAGCCTTGACATAACTTTGCCTTCCTGATAAAAACGCTTTGTGCCACTCCCTCCTGCTTCCTCCTCAAGGAGCCATGAAACCATCCTGGACCGAGGGAGAGGCCAGCCGGCACTAGGAGACACGGCACGACTGGCCACACGGAGAGAAATTATCCCCCGTTGTGGTGAAGCGCTGAAGCACTCCTGCCTGCACAGAAACACCTAAAAGAACGAGACTCAGTAAGTACCACAATGTCCCTACCAGACACGAGCCCTGAGGCCGAAGGACCTGGCAAGGGGATGGCCGAGAAGGTGGGGCTGCACGAGGGAGCCAGGCTACGAGACGTGTCTAGGAGCAGGAGGACTTCTGGGGGAGAGCGACCCACTGCCAATGCATC